GTGACCACGCTGTGTCTATGTACACTCGTCACAAATTCCTTAATTTGCAAATAATGTAACAATGTACTGACTGTATTTCGTAATTTCAAGGCTTAATAAAAAGTCTTAAAACATTTTATAAATTTCTGAAATTGTAATAACTTTACTGCTTTTAAACATAAGTTTTACCCGTTTCGTATTTATGAGAATGTTCTGTCTGTACTAAATTATTCTAACGTTTCGAACTTATATCTATATTTCTGTTGGTGTCCCTGTGGGTGTTAAATATTCTAAAGAAAATGAAAAAAGTGTTCAAAATGGTAAAACACACGTCTATAACAAAAAAAATACTATTATTTGCAACGTTTCGGACAGAAGCCCTTCGTCAGGCAGCTTAAACCGTGTTACATAGAAACTAAAGGCTCAGACAGAATCGTTTCAAGGGTTAGAAAATAGATATTCTAAGTTACGTACGAAGATAGTAATAACAGACACAAATACTAGATAAATAGGTAGCAATAATAAACAAAAATACTGGATATATAGGTAGCAATAATAAACAAAAATACTGGATATATAGGTAGCAATAATAAACAAAAATACTGGATATATAGGTAGCAATAATAAACAAAAATACTGGATATATATAGGTAGCAATAATAAACAAAAATACTAGATAAATAGGTAGCAATGATAAACAAAAATACTGGATATATAGGTAGCAATAATAAACAAAAATACTGGATATATAGGTAGCAATAATAAACAAAAATACTGGATATATAGGTAGAAATAATAAACAAAAATACTAGATAAATAGGTAGCAATAATAAACAAAAATACTAGATAAATAGGTAGCAATAATAAACAAAAATACTGGATATATAGGTAGCAATAATAAACAAAAATACTAGATAAATAGGTAGCAATAATAAACAAAAATACTGGATAAATAGGTAGCAATAATAAACAAAAATACTGGATAAATAGGTAGCAATAATAAACAAAAATACTGGATAAATAGATAGTAATAATAAACAAAAATACTAGATAAATAGGTAGCAATAATAAACAAAAATACTGGATATATAGGTAGCAATAATAAACAAAAATACTGGATAAATAGGTAGGAATAAGAAACAAAAATACTGGATATATAGGTAGCAATAATAAACAAAAATACTGTATATATAGGTAGTAATAATAAACAAAATACTGTATATATAGGTAGTAATAACTTCCTTGAAAAACGTTACCTGACGTATCCATGGGGAAAATACTTCGAAAATATTCCATTTCATGGCTAGCGTCCGCCGAAACGTCCACCACAGTAATATTAATAGTTCCTCCACAGACCTCCCTCGGGCCGAACAGTTCGAAATATGGAGTAAGCTGTAAGAAATCGTCTAAGATGACTTGTGTCGATAGGTTTATAGCATTTCTTATATCATTGTGTGCATTTTTCATCGTAGACCAATTAGCAATGAAAGTCCCAAGATCTTACCGGACTAGTGGCGTCCTCTAGCTTCATGTTCCCAGTAGCTTCAAACTTTTCTGGTGATGACCCGTCTCGGTTATATATTTCGTTACCAGGTTGAAGCGAAAGCAGGTCACCAGGTTCTACCAAAGCTTCTCGTCCAAGCTGAACCACCAGAGTGTCTGCTACACTAACACATCCAGGGTCTATACATGAGAAACAGCGATATGAGTATAGACAATTGTTTGTTGGTTTGTTTTGAATTTCGCGCAAAGCTACACGAAGGCTATCTGCGCTAGCCGTCCCTAATTTAGCAGTGTAAGACTAGAGGGAAGGTAGCTAGTCATCACCACCAACCGCCAACTCTTGGGCTACTTTTTTACCAACGAATAGTGGGATTGCCCGTAACATTATAACGTCCCCACGGCTGAAAGTGTTTGGTGTGACGGGGATTCGAACCCGCGACCCTCAGACTGCGAGTCCTAACCACCTGGCCATGCCGGGCCGAATATAGGCAAAGGACTGAAGTGTCTCATCATCAAACCCACGGCTGAAAACAAGGAGGACATGTTGCAACATGTCAACCACACTACATCTGTAATATTCAGAGCCGACAAGGCCTTTCATCCTACCCCAGAGCTCTTAAGGCCGGCTGGGATACGACAGACCTAGTAGTGGTCTAGGCGTCATATATATATATATATATATCATCAATTTTCATGCGCAATTACTGTTACGGTATGAATCAGGTTAAGCAAGTAAATTGTAATTATTATTGTAATTATTATTAACTTTTATTTGTAAATCAGATCATTAGTCACCAGCCTACCTTGACCAAACAGTTTTAAACTTCTTTCGTCAAACACTTTCGAACAATTGAGTGGTCCCTGTGGAGTTAACGCGGTCGTAAAAGTAATTTCCACAGCGTCTAGAGTGTCAGTAAACATAGCAATCGTGGGATAAGGTACTTCGTCTGTAGTCTATGAGAGATACAAGAATAATTGTAATACGACGACATCGAATTGACAGAAATATGGGTTATTTTAAAAACATTTTCTTGACTTTTGATTGTATATAAGGATTTTGTTTTTACAAATTCAATGATAAATAATTCCTGAAAAAATATATAACAATAGATGTGAACTTGAAATGGTACAAGGCAAAAACTACTTTTACACAGAAAACAAGAAACACTCGTCTTTATCTCTGTAAAAATCACCTAATAAGTTGTGAAAAGCAGGAAGAAATGACAGTTGTAAAGATACTGTGATTAACTGTTAAAATTGCTTAATCGTCTGTTTAATGATTCATTTTGACGATTTCTGCAGGTGAAGTTACAATGTATCATAGATGTGGCCGAGAATATTTGACCTCATTGCTCGTGTAGTTATGGTTATTTTGTGGCCAGTTTGTGGTACTTCGCGGTAATTAGTAGGACTGTTTACAACGGGCAATTTTCTGAGTCGTTCTGAAAATGTCGATATTTCATTAATATGTCGTTATTTCCGAAAGAAAAAGAACTCTAAAACAATATCAGTACTTGTGTTGAAAACTTTAAATTATAATAAATAATTAAAACAACGTTTTGTATTTACACAATAAAAACTTTATTGAAGCCGTAAAAAGAAAACGTTTTTCTTAATTATTTATTATAATTTAAAACAATAGTCCTGAAGACAAGAAAACAGTTCAAGAACGACAGATTCTTCACCATTGATTAAAACAAGAATTATTGTTTAAAACTAGTATTGTTGATTAAAACAAGTATTATTGTTTAAAACTAGTATTGTTGATTAAAACAAGTATTATTGTTTAAAACTAGTACTGTTGATTAAAACAAGTATTATTGTTTAAAACTAGTATTGTTGATTAAAACAAGTATTATTGTTTAAAACTAGTATTGTTGATTAAAACAAGTATTATTGTTTAAAACTAGTATTGGTGGTTGAAATAAGTACTTTTATTTAAATCTAGTAGTTTTGGTTAAAACTAGAACCTTCCATTTTGGCAATAAACTTAGAGCAAAAACTACCTTTACTTTCCAGATGACAATAAAAAATTGTTTATTGGTGTTATGTGAGAGTAAAGGTAATTTTCTTCTCTGACTTTATTGTCAAAATCTCTAAATCCCTCCAGTATTCACTACGTCATCTGCTCAACTTTCCATTTAGTTTCCCAAAGAACCCAGCAGTTGTAAACTTTGTTTTTAAACATAGCAGGCATGCAAGAGTTTTACAATGTAAAGACTTGAAAATGATACAGATGATAAATGGATCAGAGATGTAACTCACAAGAGGAACTCCCGAGGCCGTCACGCAGATGGGCAATCCATTCTCGCTGGGACAGCACGAGGAGTCCTGGGGACAAGCTTCTTCTCGTAAACACGTAATAGAAGTTGAAGTAACGTTCAACGTGAAACTACAAGACGATTCGTTTTGATAACACTCCGAAATGTTGGAACAACTTTGTGTTCTGGGACAGAAAATCTCGTTCGTGGAACAGAAAACAGTGCTATTACACGATGGCAGACAGACTTGCATGTCTTCACAGAATACAAAACCTGGTGTACACTGGTCAGTTTGTGAGCAGTTGACGGCGCACACTTCTTCTTCCACACAATAAACCAAACCGGCTGGACAAGGATTGTTCTCCTTCTTACATACAGCGCACCCTTCCGTCTCGGCACAGAAGTAGTACCGAGGGGGACACGTGACATTTCCATTCTCGTAAACCCCTGAAAAGACGATGGATGGGCAAACCTCGGCACATACATGATCTTTAATAATGACAGGAATAAATTTAATGTGGTTCACACAGAATCTGAAAGTTAATAAGCAACAGGGTTATTTTGGTTTATTTAATAATGACAGGAATAGATTTAATGTGGTTCACACTGAACCTGAAAGTTAATAACCAACAGGGTTATTTTGGTTTATTTAATAATGACAGGTTTAATAATGACAGGAATAAATTTAATGTGGTTCACACAGAATCTGAAAGTTAATAAGCAACAGGGTTATTTTGGTTTATTTAATAATGACAGGAATAGATTTAATGTGGTTCACACTGAACCTGAAAGTTAATAACCAACAGGGTTATTTTGGTTTATTTAATAATGACAGGTACCACAATAACCGGAAATGCTATTACTGGTGTCATTAGTACCGGAAACATTATTACTGTTTCGATTATTTCCGAAAACATTATTACCGGTGTCATTGTTACCGTTTCCATTATTTTCGGAAAATACTTGTATACATATTAAAACGTTTCGCTAGTACAACATTGGGCAATAATCATTTTTATGTAATCCTGTTCTCCTGTCTGACGATGTTGTAGATAAACAATTCGATATATTTTATAATATTTGAAACATAACCCTCATTCACAGTTCTGGTTTCTTCCGATATTTACCAACAATAACTTAAAACAATCGATTGTACTAGAACTTAGAAAGAAGACAGCCATCGTTTTTAACGCGAAACTAGACATTCGGCAATCTGTACTCTGCTCACAACGGGGAATCAAACCCCGGATTTTAGCATTGTTAGTCTTATAGCGGGTCTTTATAAGGATCGATCTTATACTGTTTTTTAGACGTCAAGTATGTAATTTATTAAACTCAGTCGACTAAAAACGGTTGATTTTCTTTCTTTTCTTAATAACTAATAATGTTTCATTTTATTTAATATATGTTTTCAATTGATTAAATATGTATTATGTATGCCCAGTAATAATGTTTCCGCTACTAATGACACCAGTAATAATGTTTCCGGTAATATTGGTACCAGTAATAATGTTTCCGGAAGTAATTGCACCAGTATTAATGTTTTCGGAAGTAATGGCACCAGTAATAATGTTTCCGGAAATAAGGACACCAATACTAATACAAAATCATGGTGAAAGCAAAATGGGAAAACAAATATATGTAAAAGTAATAAAACTGACAGTTTTCCTGAATTGTTTCTTTTGGAAAGTAACCATGTGGATTATATTTATATATATCCTTTATTGAACTTGAACGGAAGTAATATTGTTACTCACTTCCTTATAGAATTATTAATAAAGAAATGTAATATTATTAAATAAATACATAACGTTGTAGTTAAAAACAGAAATAAAAATTAACTTTGTTTTCGGACTCAGTCATTCAGACAATAATTTGACCTAATGCGCATGCCCATTTATAAGTTAATGTAGTTTTAATAGTTGGGCAAGTCAGTGTATTCGGTTTTATTTCATCATATATTGTTCGAATTGGGTTTTTTGTTGTCGTTGTAATCACAGTGATCGATTAATATATATATATATATATGTGTGTGTGTGTGTGTGTGTGTGTATGTGTTTATATATATATATATGTGTGTGTGTGTGTGTATATATATATATA